AAGCCCCTGCTGGTAATCTGACATTATGCAGAGAGCCTCTAACGAGTGCGATGGGCCTAACAGGCAGAGGAGGCTGAACTGTGCAAACGCTGGGGCCTTATTGAAAAATCAATGTGGGACTCAGCAGGACACAGAGCTGGTAAAGTGAATTAAAGCATTAGTTTGAATAACTACATCCCGAATAGCACTAATGCATTAAACTCACGGACGGTAAAAGTTCCCTTTTGATTATTGTGTTTTTAATTAAATTAGATAAAACTAAATCAAATGTAATGGCATTACTTTAGTCCCATTGGAAAGCTTTGATGTGGCTGGGGTTGCTCTTTGCCAGTAAAGGTTATAAACTGCATTAGAACGAGGGGTGCAAAGGAGTGATACCTGCAAAATGCTAATCTTTCTCTTCTTCCTCTTTGTTAGAACTAATGGAAAAATTCTCCTGCTCAACAGTCCATCGAACAGGTGCATTTAAATCTCTGTAATGTATTTAAATCAAACCCCAACAGAGGGATTTATGCTAATTTTCGTAAAGCTGCAAGCAAATGAGTTTCCTCAGCATTCTTTGCACCCTAAATAATCCTTTTGTTCAGCGTTGAATGTCAAACTGATCAACTGTTGCTGCTGGAGCTCTGTTTCTGTTTGAGATCGGTTTGCAGAACGTGAGTCACGGAGGCCGCGTTTCTTTGAGGTGTCTGATGAACGAAAAAGCAGAATAACATTCAGGGTCGATAGCTTTTGTCTCTGAAAACACTATACCTTGGGATGTATTTTCGATCAGGCTCTGAATCACCATTAAAATATTTGCGTGTAAATTACTGGCAGGAAATAAAAACCAAATTTTTAAAATAAATAATTCATAAACCTGTTTAAAACTAGTGATTTAAGCAGCCAAAGTCTCCTTTTCCTCTCAGAATAGGCTTAAATGTCATCTTTCTGTTCTTGATAGCAGATTCCATTCTTCCTCTGGTTGTTTTTCTCTCCTTTTCTCTCCTTTCTGACAGTTCCTTTTGTTATTAAGTCCCCCTGCGTTCCCACAGACTCGATCTGGATGAAACTTTTGTGTCACTGAGTCCCACACTTTGCCCTTCTCTCAGAGAGCATCCCTGACATTTAAACCAGCTCTCGGGGAGCTTTTTCTGCTCTTTTTTCTGTGTTCCTGGTCTTAACTTCTTTCTTTGTGGTCATTTTCTGTCTCATTGTGGTTACTTTGCGTGTCTTTGCAATGGTTTCTTACATTTTTAACTCATTGACTGCCAGCCATTTTCAGAACAGAGAGTCGCTCACTGCCAGAGTTTTTTGAGAATTTTGACTGATTTTTCAAGAGCCACAGAATAGTTTGTGCTATGACTATGTAAACACCGAACACACCAAAAGAAAGAGTAGACTCTCTTCTTTCATCAGGAAAAAAGATTTTGTTTCTACCTCATTCCGTTCTTCTTCGACGTGCGTCTCACCGGCGCCATTTCTCTCATAGCGAACCATTGCGTTTGTTTTTATTTACCTACAATCTATGCTCATCTCCCATCAAAAGTGGCACAGCTACCTAGAGGGTAAATTTGTTAGTCCATACTCTGTCTAGAAGCCGATATTTACGGAAAAACTTTCGCCGATCGTCCCCCAAGCCACTCGCATTGAAAAACATAAAAGACGTCTATAGACGTCTTTGGCAGTCAGCGGTTGGATTTGAAAAGACGTCTATAGACGTCTTTGGCAGCGAATGAGTTAATAATTCATTAGGCCTTTTCATGAAGGTTTTGTGACTGATGAGTTTAAATATCTGATATGATTAACAATTATATTACAAATATCAATCCTGTGGGTTTGTGGGTGTATGAAAGCCTAATTTAAGTGACAATGAACTGGAAATAATGATGTTTTTGGATCTCTTACAGTCAAAGAATAATTAAATGACCCCTTTTGTGTGGACAAAAATCCAGTCTGACTATTAAATGCAAGATTTACAGGATTCGTTTAGAAGTTTTTGAGTCATTTCTGCTTGAATAAGTATGATTTTGAATGTCTTTCATTAGAGGTTTGAGCTGTGAATGCAGTTTAACAAAAAGTGAAGCTTTTGTAGACATTTAAAGAGCGCAGATGGGAATATGTATACAGTATATAAACATATATATGTGTGTGTGCGTGTTTGTGTGTGTGTGGGGGGGGTATCTTTTAAATGGGATGCAAAAGCAGCTTTTTGTCCATTTATGTCCGACTCTTTTTACTCTTCCTGTCTAATAAAATGCAACGTTTTGTCTTCCAGCTTGGCGGCGTCCAAAGAAACTGCTGCAAGGAAAGCTGCGACCCCGATGCCACCGTCCGAGTTTCTGGACAAACTTATGGGTAAAGTTTCGGGTTATGACGCCAGAATCCGGCCAAATTTCAAAGGTAGGAGCTACCACCAAGACTCAGTCGGATAAGGCAGGAATGTAGCCAAAAGTTATCCAAATAGTGCTTGTTGCTTCTGCTTCTCAGTAACATTTCTAGATATTCTCTTTAACTCATGATTTAAAAAAAAAAAAAAAGAGGTTTGTATGGATTTCTTCACCCAAACGAGATAAAAAACGAGTCTGTTTATGAATGCTGCTTCAATTCAGTTCTGTATGTGCACTTGTTTCAATGTTTTTGGTTGTTCTCAATCTCTCGATCTCTTTTATTTGCCCTTTGCAGTGATGAACAAAGGTAATTTTGCCCATTGCTCAATTTTGTAACGCAACTGCAAGAATTAGACCTGTTTCAGCTGTCAGACCCCCCCCAAACCCTGTTTTACCTTTTTGTTTACCTTATTTTTGACAAAGGTTCCTTTCCCCTTGTTCATTTTTTTGCCAATCTAACTTGGCAAAACCAGATTCCCTATCAGATATTTCAGGATGTGTAGTGATTAGGATGCTAGTTGGCTACATTCCTTAGTATCCACACAGTATCCTGAGTGCTTGTTTTGGTGGTCAAGGTAATGTGCCTCCCTCTTGCCAGTGTGCTGCCAAACTAAATGATGGTGATGATGACCATGTAATATCTGGCGACCTCTCCCTGAATGTTAGCCCCCATAAAGACACATGTCAGAGGTTTCTATGCAACTGTCTCCCATCGGGAACACGTTCTGGGCCGAGGCAACGCTTCACGTTAATCAAAGAGTTTTCGAACGACACTTGTAAATAGGAAACAAAAAGTTTGAAATAACCGGAGGAGACAAATCCACTCCGCTGCTGTTTCTCTGATCTGGGTCTGAGTTCTGGCTCCTTTAGTGGGACTGGGTATGGATCTGGCCTCTGAGGCCGGATCGGAGAAGGGTTTTTTTTTGTAGTTTTGTGCCGATACGACTTTCAAAAAGAGTTCAAAATTGCATTCTTTATTCTTTCTACGGGTACCCGGAGGGTAGATTTCCTGGGTCTTGTTAGCAAAGCGCCGCTCATGTTCGTGTGGACGTGCCGCTGTTTGCATACATGTCGGCATCACTTAGCCTCAAAAGCCGGTTAACGGGTGGAAATGATGTATTTTTGACATGTTTTATTCATTTAGCGTAGTCGTAGACTAAATGAATGTCTGCCGTGGGGCTTTCCGTCTCTGCTGAGCCCTTAGGGGTCCCTGTAAGAAAGGAGGATCTCTCAGTTAAAGCCAGACAGGCTTTGAAAAAAGGCTGGTCGGGAGTCCATTTTGGAGACGTTTCAGAGTTCAAATTAGATCTCTATGCCGCTATGGTTTGCAGTAATGTAAATTATTAATATTATTAGCTTTAGAAAAACCAAAAACCAACAGCTGACATCCATAACAGAGATGAAAACCATTAAAACGATGTTTTATAGCAATAGTGAAGAATTACTGCTATTTTGAATTGTGTTTCTATGTATTATTTATTAGAACTTAATGATTTATTCGGGTTTTTGCTAAAAGTTTTCGAACTGGTGATGGAGACCGCCGTTCAGGCGGATAAGCCGGTGTTTCACATCATTTCTTTAGAGGTTATTGTCAGCAGGCAGAGCCGGTGTGACTCTGTCGTGGCTGTCAGATCGACGCAGGAGCGACAACCTGAGCTCTCTGAGTGGCTCCTTCATGCGACTTTTCATCGTGTGCGTGTGTCTGCCTCCCGCTAGCTTACCACGATCCCGCGCTCGCGAAATAAACAGCTTGACAGCTCTGCTCCTCGATGCGCTCGCGAGGAAAAGGGAACAAATGGGTCCCGGTGTGGGATTCAGAGAGGGGATGCATCGGGAAGAGCTCCCAAAGCGCAACCGCTCCCCGACTTTGGCCTTAAACTAGTAGCAAGATAACATCGTTTTGGAGTATACACGGACCATATATAACACTTCAACCCTCTGTGAGGGTGCAGTTTAAATTTGAAGAGGGTTTTTACTTATTTAGCGCGAGAGTTCTTGTTTACGTGTTCAGATGTTGTGATGCTCTGCTTTAAAGCACTGCCCTCACAGCTCAAGTCCCAGCCTGTGCCGCGGACACGCCTTAAAAACTATGTTCCTGCAAGCAAACTCTCGCTCTCCACGCAAATATTTTGCTCTCCCTGGCATTCCGACACTTATATCCACTTATATCCAAAGCAACCAACAAAGGAGACACAATGTTCCAGTTCTCATCAATCTGACAATCAGATCTCTAGAGGAAAATCCCCAGTCAGAGTCAGCGGTGACAGCAAAGACATAGAGGGAAGTGCAGAAAGCGTAGTAGAGGGGAGTATCGAGGTATGGGGAAGAGTTAGGATAGGCAATGCTCTTTGAAGAGATGGATCTTTAGGGGTTTCCTGAAGATAGACAGGGACCTCCTGTTCTTGTAGTGCTTGGTAGGTCATTCCACCATCTTGGAACAACACCTGAAAACAGTCTGGATTGTCTTTAACGTGGTGCAGCACTGCTAGACCACAATCCATCGATGGCCAGAGTGACATAAGCCTTTGCAAGAGGGTTCAAGTAGACACGAGCCGTACCCTTAAGCACTTTGTAGGCTAGCTTCAGGGACTCGAATTTGATTAGGGCAGTCAGTGGTTCCACCAGCAGACCGGTCTAATTACCATACCATCCTGTCTCACAAACCAAAATCCAGGGTCCTGCTGAGTCATCTGAAATCAGAGTTAAGAGGTAAACAGAGTCCAGGCCGCTTGGTTCAGCTTGAAAAACTGAGCAGGTTTGAAGTCCGGCTCCCCGGTTTGGCTTTGTGTTCGGCTATTTACTCTGAGCTCCATTTGGCTTCTTTCAAATATGAAATGGAAATCAACTTCTGTTTGTGTGGACCGACGGCAAACTGCTTCAACTGGGTGCAAAAAAACAGAAAGAGCACGTCCAGGACCTGCTGGAGACCTGCTGGTGGAACTAATCCGATAATGAATGAGGGACCTAAACAAGCCTGTGGAGGTGGATGAAAACTGCTCAGCTCCAGCCTAAAACTGTGGTCCGGCTTGGAGCTTTGCTTTGATGTCGGCACTTCCTGCTCAGTAAGAACAAAGCTGATGCTTCCAGGCGCCGAGGAGGCTTTACAAGCACCCCAGGGGGGGTTTACAGTTTATACCACTTAGAATGAAAAGCAATACCTTCCCTCTGAAGCTGACACTTGAACATCATTCTATGACTGGGCCCCATCGTCTCTAACTTTAATGCAGTAACACAAATGGCCTGAGGGGACAAACAGGCAGCAGGGCTTTCTTTGAACATGCCAACGAGATTAAGGGGGGTCATAAATGACACCCGCCTCGTTAAGAGTCCAGATCCACTAATCATGAAGTAGTTTCCTTCATTGTGAGTCACAGCCTGCTCCTCGGCTCACCCCTGAGCAAGTTTCTTCTTAATTGAGTCACAGACGCGCGTCACATGCTGCTGGGCCTTTAAATTAAAGGGATATTCTGCATTTTTTAAGTGAGGCTGTGAGGAAAGAGCTCAGAGGAAAGTTCAGAGGGCGATCAGTTCGGAGACTCAGGAAGTTTCCTTACCAGTTGCGCCAGCCCAAAATGTGAAAGGATGCATTGTGGGATGCGCCCATCCACCGGCCCGTCCTTACGTGGCTAAGTGGCTATTAGCTGGACCCCAAGCCCCATCTTTGAACTTTTAGACGCCCTGAAAGGTTCACTTACGCTGTAAATAGACAAAACTTTGAGGGGAGCACCCCAGAGACCAGTTGTTGGACCTCTAAAGTAACAGCTAAGTGCATTTTTCTGAGTGTAGCTCTTAGTTTGCGTGACCTCTCCCCGTTTCTGATCCTCCAAACTCAGGTGAGACTGGATATTTGACTTCGATTCTAAAAAGCAAATATCCCTTTAATGAAATAATGCTCGTCAGTGGTGGGAAGTCAAACGCGGCGGTCTGGTTAGGGCGCTTGGCGCTCCGTCTCTTTGAGATTCTGAACAAAGAAAACGTTGAGCTCTCTGTCCGAGCCGATGACGCTGCAGAAAACCCAGCTGAGAGCGCTCGCGTTTCAGCCCCGCTAATTTCACCAAAAGCAGCAGAATGAGGCCGGGAAGAGGAAACGTGACAGGAGAGAATCGAGACTCGCCCAAAGCGACGACTACACCAGCGCGAGAGGAAATTACAGAGAACATGACTCGGGGATCCACCGTGTGAGCAAGAAGCTTCGAATTGATTTAGCAGGTTCCTCCATCGCGGAAAGCAGAGGAAACACTCTTGACACATTCAGGACAAGCCATTTATAATCCATGAGTTCCTCCTTTCTTTCAGCGCCTCTCCCTGGTTTCTCATTCTTATAATAGTTTTTCCCCTTCCCCTTTTTCAGCTTCCATCCTTCATTTAATGACTCATTCATGTTTTGAAGCTGTATTTGCTTCTTCATTTATGAATATGTTTGAGTTTTGTAGCTTTTTTTCCCCATTTTGTACTCATTCTCCGTTTAATCATTCATCGACTGGCTAAATGTTACACACCCCTTTTAATTTTACTTTCCTTTTTTTCCGAACTAAAGGTCATGAATGCATCCCTTTTTCCTCTCCTGGTCTTCCTCCGGTCCTTTCTTAGGTTCTCACGATGTAAATAGGACCCATTTGACTCTTAGAGGAGGGTGGGCTAGGATTGGCTTAACGTCGGACCTTTGTAAATCGTCTTTTTACAGATTATTGAGCGTGTATGAGAGCAAAACGGGGGAGGAAAGGGGGTTGAAGTTAGCATCAGAGGGGGAAAGGTATATTTGTTGGTGTCCGTGTTTCTGTGCACATTTGATGACTGGCGCCCCCTATAGCTGCCACCCCCACCCCCCCGTGACTTAACCTTGCCCTTCCTCATCGTTCGAGCAGAACAACAACATCCAGACCCTGGTCTTTGCCCCCACACCCCCCCACCCCCAGCAGGGGGCTGGAGAATACCCGGAATGCGTTGGTGGTTCTCCACCGCCGGGTTTCCTCCGCTCGGGTTTCCTCTCGCGGCTGCAGCCCTCTCGTTTCG